TTTTCCTCTGTCTTGGTTTTATATATTGGACTGCAATTGCTATATCATATGGAAACTCTGTAATTATTTGAGGCAATTTATCAAAGCAGTTAGCCCATTTCATGTTAGCAATGTAGGATTCAAATTTCTCCATATCCATGGCAACATTGTTCATTTTTTTTATTCAAGCCATACTAATGGGCATCAAGTGATACTTGTGGTTTTTATTTGTATTGCCCTGGTAACTAATGACCATTTCTTCATGTGCTAATAGATTGTGTGTATACCTTCCTTAGAAAAATATATATTCGGACATCCTATAGTTTGAGTATGTATCCCAAAATTCATGTGTTAGAAACATAATCCTCAATTCAACAATGCTGAAAAATAGGGGCTTAACAAGAGATAATTAGGTCATAAAAGCTCTGCCTTCACAAACGGATTAATTATTTTGGAAGTGAGTTGCTATTGTTTATTTTCTCTGGTGTTTGCACTCCAACCTCCTTGTGGCTGTTCTTTGTGTAAAATACCTTTACTTTCAATTTATTTCTATCTTTTAATGTCTTACAGAAAACATACAGGTGATTCCTACTTTAAATCCATTCTAACAAATTCTTTCTTTTGGTTTATTTCATTCACACTTAATGCTATTAGTGATATAAATGGATTTACATCTGGCATTTTACTTTTTGTTTTCTATTTGTTGCTTGATTTTTGTTAATATTGTTGTTCCTTTATTCTTTTACTCCTGTCTTTAGCATTAAGAGAAATTTTTTATGAACTTTTTTTTGGTACTGAGAATCAAACTCAGGACCTTGTGCTTGCCAGGCAAGCACTCTGCCACTGATTTATATCGTCGCTCCTAAGTGAATATTTTTTAATAAAACATTTAAATTTATTTTTCAGTAATTTTTTAGAATTATGTTTTAATGGCTACTCTAAGGCTGGGCTTACCACATATAGCATAGATATGAGAATCATCTCATAATAGATATCAGAATCATCTTCAGATTTATGCTTACTATCAGTGAGACACAGAAATGCCACACAGCTCTATTACCTGTCCCCAGTTTGGTGGTATTATATTCACATATGTTACATGAATTAACATTACAAGCCTCTTAATACACTGCTATATAGTCAATATCTTTCAGTCATTTCTTTAGCCCAATACAGCTTTATTCCTACTTCTTGAATATGATAATTGGCAAATATATTACAAATATTTTATGTTTCTATATATATTTTGGGCCCAAGAATACATAATGTAGACGCTACAACTGCTTTTTAAAGCAAAAAAGAAAGAAAAAGATTTGACTTACTGTCTAGAGTTACGTAGCTTAAAGAAGTTCCTTTAGTTGTTCTTATAAGGTAAGTCTGATATTGATAATTTTTTTTAATCTGGAAATATCTTTATATCACTTTCATGTCTGAAAGATAGTTCTGTTGAAGATAGAATTCTCAGCTAACAGTCTTTCCAGAGCACTATGAATATGTTATCCCATTGCCTTCTGACTCCTATTTTTCCTAACAAGAAGGTTTCCCTGTAAATGATGAATAGTATTTTTCTAACTGCCTTCAAGATTATCTCTGTCTTTGATTTTTGAATTTTTTTACTATGTTTATTTGTGGATCTTTTTGTGTTTATATGTACACCCTGAAATTCATGGAGCCTCCTGGCTGAATAGTTTATTGTTTGGAATCTTTAGACATTTCTTCGAATATGTTTTTCTGCCTCTTTCTCCATCTTCTGTCCTTTTGTTATTCCAGGAAGAAAGCACTCCAATTAGGAGCTGGGGAAAAAAAAGGAGCCCTATATTCCTGGCTTCACTAGTCTCACTGAGCTGGGAGGAAAGAGCAGTCTTGGCTCAAATATCAGACTTGCTTTTTTAAGCAAATTTTTGCAAGTTTTCTGAAATCTTTGTGGGTTTTAAAAAATTTACTATATGCCCTTATGACCAAAGTGGTCAAAGTGGTCATAATTTTCATCACTTACACTGAGAAATGGATTGCAGAAATCTTCAGGCTGAAATGCCAGATTAATTTAATACAGCCATTAACTTTTTAAAGATCCTATGCATACAATTACAATTATAACAGGTGAAGTGCACAGAATGCTATAAGTACATAATATGAAGGTACTTTATTGTTTTGTAATCAGAGGACACTTGCTAAGAAACTGATAATTATATTGAGCTCCAAATGCTAACTAGGCATTGCCTAGAATAATAACATGAAAGGGAGAAACAAGGAGCAAAAAATCCTATGCAGAGACAATAGCACATGCCTTGAGGTGAAAAAGAGCATGCCACATTCTGGGAATTGGAAAGTAGGTAGTGCTTGGAGCAGAAATAGAAGGTAGAAGAAAAGTTCCATGTGAAGGTGGAGAGGTAGGCCAGCACCAGAGTATGCTGTAAATTTTACACTTAACTGAAGAAAGGACAACCAATAAACAGAAGCATTTTGTTTATTTTTTTTTTTTGGTTTTTGGTTTTTCTCCGGTACCGGGAACCGAACTCACGACCTTGCGCTTGCCAGGCAGGCGCTTTTTGCCGCTGAGCTAAATCCCCAGCCCCAACAGAAGCATTTTGAACAGAAGTGTTACATAGAGACCGATTTGTGTTTTTGAAGGATCATTCTGCCTACACATAACAGTTTAGAACAACAACAAAAAGATCAAGTATAAGGGCATTTTGTTGAGAGCCTATTATAGGTGGAATTGTATTCTGCTTAGACTATGTTAAAGCCCTCACCCTTGGAAATTGAGTCATTACAAGTGTGATTAACTTAATCTGGAACACAGAAGACCCTAAATTTAAAATGGCTCAAATCATTAAAATGACAGAGAAATATGAAAACACAGAAGAGAGACCCAAGAAGGAGACTATGTGACACTGAAGAAAGAAACTGGAATTATGAAGCTAAAACAAAAACACAAGCAAGTGCCAGCAACCATTAGCAGCAAGGAGAGTGGTATGGAGCAAATTCTCCCTCAGAGGTTCAAGAGGAACCAACTATGCTGACACCCAAAGTTTAGACTTCTGTTTTCATAAACTACGAGAGAACAAATTTCTGTTGTTTAAAGCCGCATAAGTCATTGCAAAAGCATCTCTAGAAACAAAGGCTACTAGGTAATCCCAGCAAGAGGGATGGTAGACTGGAACTCATATAGTGGAAGTAGAAATAAATGTTTATTAGAGAAATACTTGAGTGGTGAAAAGGATCAAAACTGATAATGAACTACTCTGGAGACAGACAAACAGTGCGGTAAAGACAGCCCCTTGATTTCTGTGGATTATCCAACTGGATAGTACAATTTCAGAATGTCTTAAAACGGCATCCTGGTATGGTTTAGATATGATTTAAGTGTGTCTCCCAAAGGTGTGTATGTTAAAAGCTTGATATCTGGTGTGGCACTGAAGTGGTAGAAACTTTATGGGGCGAAGCCTTGTACAAGATAATTTGGTCATTAGGAGCTCTGTATTTAGAAGGGATTAATACTGGTTTTATGAGGTGAGATATCCCTTGTGAAAGTGAGTTGTTACAAAACTAAAACAAGCCTGGCCCCTCAATCACTTTGGTGTCCTCTCACCATATGACTGCTCTCTTCCACTCATAGGTTCTTCCACTATTATGTTATCTGCCTGTTGTGGCATGGCCACAGGGGCTTTCCTCAGAAGCCAAACAAATAAAGGTACCCAATCTTAGACTTCCAGTCTCCAAAACCACAAGCTAAATAAACCTCTTTACTTCATAGAATACTCAGCCTCAGCTATTTTGTTATGACAATAGAAAATAGACTAATAGATGCTTTTGTCTTTAATTTGTATCTAAAGATCCCTTCTTGAGCTTTCTGGACCAAAGAATGTGTTCTGATCTTCTGATTAAAAAGACTATTACACCCCTCTTTGTAAAATAGCATTTCAGAGATCTGCAACTGAAGCAAAAAGTCAGAGGAAGACTGTCAGTTCCAAACACCATATCATCAGGCTAAATACATTCTCTTAAAAGCAAATAAAACATTTTTTATTTCATAATGTCCACTGAACTATAAACATTAACAGAGAGGTTGTTTACACTTTATTTAAATAATAAGGTTCAGCCAGGCATGATGGTGCAAGCCTCTTAACTCAGCTACTTAGGAAGCTGAGGCACGCAAACCACAAGTTCAAAGCCAGGCTGGGCAAAAAAAGCAAGACCCCATCAACAACAACAACAATAAATAATAATTAGAGTCATATTATCATATTGCTGGAATTAGATTATGACTTCTTCCTCTCCAAACATTTCCTTTCAATGTAAGTAATAAGCAAGAGTATACTACTTGAATATTCATAATCTATTATTGTATTTTTATTACTTCAATTTTACATCTGGTGTATAATAATTCATATTTAAAATATATTTTCCAACTAACTTTAAGATCTTGTATTTTTCAGTTACTCAGAATAAATGACATTATTTAGTCTAAATCATAATCACAAAGTGAATTATAGGAAAAGAGAACTCCCTTCCTCCAATAATTTTCAGTTTATACAATTTTTCAGCCACATTATTCTTTTGAGTAACATATTTTTACTTGTAAACAATGAGTTTGGCAAATCTGAAATTTTTATGTCTTTTCTGATTTGACTATCTGACTCTTCAGATCTTGTATAAAAGTACTTATCCACACCCCTAAAAACCCTAATTTAACACAATCAAGATCTTGCATATTTTATTTTATGCCCTGGCTCTCTTGTAACCAACTTTGAAAAGGTTAACTATATCATTTAAGATTATGAAAGAATAAAGTACATAGTTACATATTTATTTTCCCCACTAGCCTGTAGCCATGTGATGAAAAGAACTACTTTACTTTTTTATGTACCATGCAGACATGAGCCACTTGACTTAAGCATACTGAATTTAATTCTACTGTGACAGGAGAGGCTAAATGATCTTTCAAGTCCATGTTTTATTATCTTTACAATTAATCAATCATTCCTTGTCCTCATTTTCATTCATTTTCTTTTCTTTAGACAAAAACCAGGGCCAAGTGTGGTGGCATACACCTATAATTCAAGCACTCAGAAGGCTGAGGATGAAGGATGTCGAGTTTGGGGCCAGCCTGGAATACACATTGAATTCAAGATCGTCCTGAAGTACACAGCACAGATCCCATGTAAAATCATGGAGTAAGGACACAAAAGGGTTATACTATTTAACAACTGAGAAAACTGACATGGGCGGTGACAAACTAGACACTCTAAATGAAAATGATATGAATAATAAAGGATTAAGAAAGAGTGTTGGCCAGAGAAGGTGGCATAAACTCCTTTCTTTCCATTGCTCCACAGTAAATATAACTACACAGTTTTGAAATAATATGAAAGGTAATCACAGAACATTGTAAATGGAAAGAGATTTTCATTTGCTGGAGGCCTTAGGACTACAGGAATAACAGTGGTAGGATATCTGATACTCCCCTCAGTTCAGAAGAAGACAATTCAGGCCTGCCTTCAAACCTAGCAACAGAAAGTAGGTGATGTAGCCAAATTCCCTTTGACGATAAACAGTAAGCAAGTCTAGCACCACTGATAAGGAAGGGGTAATGGTGGCAATAGGATATACTAGAAAAGATTATTTTCAATTAAAAAATAAGTAGGTATAAATAAATATAAATAGATATGATTAAAAATAAAAAGAAACCTTTAAAAAGTAGAAAATCTAATTATTTTGTCCAAAAGACTCTGTAATAATATAATTCTTCAGACAAAGTAAATATGAATTTGCAATCTAACAAAATTTGACTTGCATTTCTCTATTTATGTTTAAAGTTTATTTTCATAATTTCTATTTTTTTAATATAAATTTTCAATATCTTCTCCAGCAACACATATGTATAAACCATTTGCTACTTAAAGTTCTTTACTATTTATTCTGAACTATTTACTTCTGACACTAGCTTTAAATGATTAAGCAGCCTTTTTCTAATACCATTTATTCTTATATAAAACATTTCTTTTAATATTTGAAATAAAATTTAATGGTAAAAAGAAAACTGGCTAAAAATAAAATGTACATATTAGTAGTGTTTAAATGAACATTACTGATAAACACAATGAAAACTAACTTCAGAAGACAAAGAATTTACCAAAATATTTTTTCCTTGGATTAAACAAAATGATACCTCTATGAACTTATCTGTCTATTCCTCTATGAATTCTATGAAGAGAACAGGAAAATATTCAAAGGGATATCGACTCAATTTAGGGACTACTTAGGAACATCTGAGGAATAAGTATCAATTCAATAAATTAGAATAGGCTAGGAAGGACTAATAAACCACCCTAATCTAATGTAATTCCACTACCAACCAATCCCTGCTCACAGTGAGCAACAGTTGTTCATGAAATACTGTTTGAAAAGTAATGCCCTAAAGTTAAATCACAGGACAAAAAGCAACTACATAATTGACAGTAAATATAAAATTATCAAATACAAACATTTGGGTTAAGTCAAATGGTTTGTTTTATTGTTATAGACTAAGGAATAGGAAGGCACCAATTGTTAAGAAACAATTTATAAAAGAAAAATTTTAAATGGTAAAACATATCCAGGAAAATACCTTTATTATCTTATTTTATGGCAGAATATCTTCATCCACCTCAATGATCAGCAAGAACTCTGGATTAAGATGGATTGAAAGTAAATAAAACTTAAATACTTATACTGACATTATAACAATCTTAGAGCACATTCCATATTCTTCAGATTGTGGCATGGACAAATTCTGCTAGACAGTTTTCAACAGTCCCTTTGACAGAATCATGTCTAAATATGATGAACAAAAAATGGTCACTATAAGTGACTTAAAATACCACCCCTACTATTCGAAACATTATTCATGCCTTTTCCAGAAAAACTTTAAAGAATGGAATCAGTAATTACCTGTGCTTTTTATCAATATTTTACATATATTGTGAGAGACTTGTTGCATATTGTCAGTAGTATAAAACATTCACTAATATTTAAGGTGCATCTCTAGTACATAAAACATTGCACTGAACATGTACCAGGCATGAACTCCGCCTCTTTTTTTCTTTTTTTTAAAGCTTGGATCTGGGAATAAAACCCACAAATGCTGACAGCAACTCATATGTTCTAACCACTGGATACCATTTTTCTCCAGAACAACAAACCACACACATGGCATTCAAAATATCCTTTATTTTGACCAAAGTTATGGTTAGTTCCAGTGCTAAGTTATAACTGAATTGGTGGCCCTTAAACTAAATTATTTTGATATTTTGGTGATAATATTTTAAAAATGAGTAGAACACAGAATTTCTAGTTTGTAAAGTCAAATAAATAATCATCAAATCTAGAAATTAGGAGAAAAAGAAACTTTAGGGGTATCTCAATGAAAATTCAAGATGGGAATGACAGAAAAAATGTTGTGGTTTACTGACTAAAGCTCAGAACCTGTGTACTCATATGGATAAGGTTTCATAATCACACATTCAGGGTTATTACTCATCTTACTCCTCTGCTTCTTCACAAAGACAGACTGGCTTGAGTGTGAGAAATTTACTAAAAACTGCCTCAGGCAAAGAAAAATATAACAATCATCTTGGATATGTAGACAAATCACTTTGTTCATTGTAATCAAGCTACCAGTGGGAAACTCTAACTCACACTGAACTAATAATATATCTATATTTATATTTCAGCACAGGTGTGGGAAACTGCTAATTACTGAAAGTGATTATGCACACACAAATATGCACACACAAATATTTACTGAATAAATAACTACATGAATAGAAAAGAATAAAATAGCAAGACTATACATGTTTAGATAACACATGGAAAATTAAAAGTGACTTAAACACCAAATCATCATTTGGGAAACAGGCTGCACTTTCTAAAATATAAGAGTAAATACTCAAGGGAAATAAAAGCATATGCTGACATTAAAACTTGTTCAAAGATCACAGCATTATTGACAGTCAAAAAGTGAAAACTCAAAAAATTAGGCAAATTCTGAATACATAAATAAATAATAAATATATCCATACAATAGAATATTTGGTCATTTAAGAAAAAATAAAGTACGGATAGATGCTACAACACAGGTGAACCATGAAAATATTCTGCTAAGTGGAAGGCTACATATTAGATAACTCCATTTATATCAAATTTAGATACAGTACATTAGTGGTTATCACCTGTGTCTTTGGTAGTGGAGGAGGAAGCTAATAGGTTTATCATGTGATAAGAATGCCCCAAGTGCTGGATGCATAGTGCATGCCTCTAATCCTAACACTCAGAAGGCTGTGGCAGGAGGATCACCTTGAGTTCAAGACCAGCCTGGGCTACATAGTCTATCTCAAAAAAAAGTTTTAAAATTGTGGTTACATTACTATGAATACATTAAAACAACTTATTAAAAACAGATACATGACTCCGCTTATATGAGGTGGAAATTCCTAGAAATTCATGGAGACAGAGAATAGAATGGTAGTTACCAGGGCCTAGAGAGAGGAAAGAATGGGAATTATTAGCAGATACAGTTTCAGCTTGAGAAGATGAACCAGTCTGAAGACGGTTGATGGTGATGATTGCATAGCAGTGTAGATGCCACTGAACTGCACACTTAAAAGGCTAACTTTATGTATATGGCAAAACAACTGTATATTTTAAGCAGGTAAATTATGGTATGCTAATTATATTTCAGCGAAGTTACTATACAAAATAAATGAGGTGTGAGTGTAGCTCTCCATAAAAGTAAGAATATTAAACTTGCCACCACAATGGGAAAATTCTAGGTCTATAATTAAAAAGACTTAGTAGCTCTACCGACAGATTCTTCTCAGCAGATGTGCCAAGGCCAGGACACTTGACATGCTCACTATCCTCACAGTACAGCCCCAGCCTAAGGGATCTCACCTACTCCTGGGACTTCACTGTCCTTGTGCTGTAACTCCCCAATGTGCGTCTTCATATGGGTACCAACTTCTGCTACTGAATTCCTGTGCCTTTACTCATCAATGCCTATTGGACAGACATTCCTAGGTTCCTGAAAACCTCTCAAACATGTCAAGAGGAGATCACAAAATGCTGGAGATTTAGTCAGAGAGACCTAGGATCTGTGTAGCTTGGGAAGTGACTGAGACTCTGAGACTCTATTTTGCTACTTTTAAAATGAGACTGACATTGATTTTATTCAAAGAATTAAACCACATGAATGCACATCAAGTTCAGAGACTGAAACAGGGAGGACACAGAAATTTCTAAACTCACATTCACTGCCTTTCCCTTTGAACTTCTTCTCAAACATAAAGATGTCACCATTTTCCTAATCTATAAGCCTTTATATTATCATGGATTATTTTGCTTTCTGTGTTCTCAAATTCTGTCAACCTATCTCAAAAAGATCTTTTGAGTCTCTACCATTTCTGCTTTGATTTAGACTTTTATCATCTCTCACTTAAACTTCTGCAAAATTTAATTTGCTTTCTCCAACACTACTCCTTCATCCATGTTAACAAAATCATTTTCCTGAAAAACAAAGCTCATCTCCTACTTAAATACCTCTGTTACCTATGAAACTCAAAAACACTAGTTTAGTACTTGGCAAGAACTCTAAAGCTAACCTTTTATTCCTTTCCAGATACATCTACCTATGCCCATCCCATCCTTTATTTTTACTTTGTGAACTAACTTCTCACCACCCTCTAGATGGACTCCTAGCTTTACACCATTCTCTCCTTTTTCACTCTGCAGACTCTTACTAATCCAAATCTATTCCAAACGACATCTTGTCAGCGACGCTGTTGATCTGCTTGCATTTCTGCCTCCTCGCTATGCTATCAACTCCTAGAGTATATTAATGGACTATTTAATTTTTGTATCATTCTTGGAGCTTAGTAAAGAAGGAAAAAAGAAAAGAATCCAAAAAGAAAGACCCATATCTAGTTACACAAACAAATGAGGGTCCAAATTAAAAGTCAGATTAATTTTTGCTTCAAAATAAAAGCTACTAGTAAAAGCCTAGTATTTTGTGCAAGTTC